ATGTCCTTCTCCAGGCACTGCCCCCCCCCCACCTGCTCACTGCCTTGTTTTTCTTGTCACCTTATTTTTCTTGTCATCTTCCACCATGCCACATGACTTATTTATCGGGCACTCAAGCTCCCTGAGGGTTGGGCCTTCGTTCACGGCTCTGAACAACACCTAGAACAGCGTGGAGCTCACCGTAGGTGGAAAGAATGAGTGGTCACAGAGGTGACATTGTTCATCCTGGCTCGGAGGAGAGACGCTGGCTTAGAGAAGGGAAGAGATTTTTGAGGGGATGTGAGATGATGGAGTGTCAGACAGGCCGGTAGTCTGAACGCAGGCTTGTCTCTTAATCAGCCACAAGTTCCTGGGCCAGGGACGTCACCTCTCCAAGTCTCAGCTTCTCACTCTGTGAAGTGGAACGATGAGCGATCATGCCGGACGGAGTCCGTGACGCATGCCGAGCACCCAGGACAGTGCCTGGGGTGCTGCTGACCCCCGACCCTTCCAGGGTCCCAAGTGGCATGGCACAGCTAGAACTCAGGCCCGCAGCCCCCTGAGCCAGGCTTTCTACCCACCCTCCTACCCATCCACGAGCCTTTTGCATTTAGGTCCATGGATACCAGGAAGAAGTGGCAGCTGAGAGGCTGCAGGGAGGAAGCAGAGACGTGCTCTGGGGGCATCTGGTCCAGGTGCATGTGCAGAGCAGGGACAGGAGTCAAAGGGAGGGGCACTGTGGCCCAGAGCAAAGGGCCAGGCATGGTGCAAGTGCTCTGCATAGGAAGGCAGAGTGGCTGCTGGGCCAACGTGGTGAAGTCTGGGTGTCACCTTGGCTGGGCCTGCTTGAGTGGCTGGGCAGCTGGATGTAGTATTCCCCATGATGAGACTGCTAATCAACTCTGTGGTGGAATCTACGGCGAGCAGCTGAGTAGCTGCCTTTGGGTATGTGGTCTGCTTCCCGTATATAAGTAGCAGCTTTGGGAACGGTCTCTAGCTGGTGGCACGCTTGGACCCTGCATGTAGTCATGTCGTTGTCTAGCAGCCTGCCATGCTCTGCCGACCTGGGGACTTACAATGGACTTAAGTTAATGGCCTGCC